TGACTTTGCACAGAGTAGGTACATTATAGACGTTTGTTGGACAAATGAATGAATGACAAAGTGATCTCAGTGTTCCATTCTCAGCTCTAAATTTGTCTATGCTTCCAAGACTCAGTTCCTCTACTGTCATTACAGAATTCTTTTTCTTCTGAAAGTGTCAAACCACTGAAGGCAGAAGTAATTTCCAAAAATTTCACACCATGCTATCCAAGTAGAGGCACATGGAGGATGCTGGGCCTTAATAATCTCAATGCACTTTTTTCTAATACTTTAAAAATCTCATTTGATTCTGTGCAACAGCCCATGATGCAAAGATTGAGGATGACTAATTAGATTTCCTGGAGAAACACAGGATATGCCTCCCATTACAATAAAGACTGATCAAGAGTGCTGCCTCTATGGCTAAGAATTGGAAATTGAAGTGATGCCCATCAATTGAGGAATGGCTGAACAAGCTGTGGTATATGATTATAAGAAATGACAAGCAGAATAATTTCAGAAAACCAGGAAAGATATACATGAATTGATACAAAGTAAAGTGAGCAGAGCCAGAAGAACATTGTACACAGTAACAGCAACCTTGTACGATAAAGAACTGTGAATGACTTGGTTATTCTCAACAACACAATGATGCAAGACAATTCCAAAGGACTCAAGATGAAAAATGCTATCTGCCTCCAAATGCTATCCTCTCCAGGAAGAACTGATGTTGTCTGAATACAGACTGAAACTTTCTTTCTCTCTTTCTTTTCTTTTCTTTTCTTTTCTTTCTTTCTTTCTTTCTTTCTTTCTTTCTTTCTTTCTTTCTTTCTTTCTTTCTGTCTTTCTTTCTGTCTTTCTTTCTTTTTCAAGTTTTCTTGCAGAAAATGACTAAGATGGAAATATTTTACATGATTGCACATGTATAACCTATATCAGATTACTTACCATCTTGGGGGGGAAGGAGGACGGGAGGGAGGAATAGAATTTGGTACTCAAAACTTAAAAAAAATAATGTTAAAATTGTTTTTATGTGTAATTAGAGGGAAATAAAATATTACTAAAATGTTTTCTATTAAAAAGAAAAAAGAATTCTGCCTACTTATGCTCCTATCAGGCTCACCCTCACTGGACCACCAAGATATCCTGCAAAGGATTAGAGTGCTCCCATTTGTAGACATAGTCAGGGCCTGGTGCCCTCCTTTGGCATTTGATGTTCCCTGCTCCCAAATCCTTCCTTGATCAACTCCTCATATTACAGAATCAGAAAATCTTATAAAGTTAGAAGGGACTATGGATGTCATCTATTTAGGGCAGGGCTTCTTAAATTGGGTTCCATGAACCAAAAAGATTTTGATGTGTCTGTATTTCAATAAAACTGGCTTCCATTGTAATCCTGGATCTATTTTTATGCATCTGGAAACATGATTCTGAGAAGTGCTTCATCAGCTCCACAAAAAAGGTTAAGAACCATGGATCTAGAGTAACCCTCCCCTCACTTAGTACTTAAAAGGGACTGGGATGTAGAGGATATAAAGGAAAGAATACTAGATTTGGTATCAGAAGATCTGGATTTGAATCCAACCGAAATACAGTGATAGAAAAACCTTGTGGGCAAGACACACCTTCTCAAGAACTTCCAGATCTCACCTGTAAAATAGGGATAAGCATGAAACTCCTCTACACTATCTAAATTATTTTGTTTAAATGAATTTTTGTGAATATTATCACATGGCTAGAAGTCACTCAGAAGGAGGTCTCTAGCAGAGGTCTATGCTATTTAACAATTTTATTGATGACTTAGGGCAGCTAGGCGGTGGAGTGAATAGAGCACTGGGCCTGGAATAAGGAAGACTCATCTTCCTGAATTCAAATCTGACCTCAGACAGTTACTAACTGTGTGACCCTGGGCAAATCACTTAACCCTGTTTGTCTCAGTTCCTCATCTGTAAAAAAATGAGCTGGAGAAGGAAATGGCATATCACTTCAAAATCTTTGCCAAGAAAACCCCAAATGGGGTCATGAACAGTTGGACATGACTAAAAGACTAAACAACTGATGACTTGGATGAAGGCAGAGATGGTATACTGATCAGATTTGCAGATGGCACAATGCTTGGAAGGCTAGCTAACATGTTGGATGATAAAGTTAGAATCCACAAAAGATCTCAATAGTTTAGAACATTGACCTGAATCTGATAATATGAAATTCATATAAGGATAAATGTAACTCCTTATACTTGGGTTCAAAAAATCAACCCCACAAATTCAAAATGGGGTGAAACAAGACTAGGGAGTAGTTTATAAAAAGATCTATGGGTTTGAATGAACTGGAAGCTCAACATAGGTCAACAGGTCCATCAGGTATAGGATAATCAAGAAACTCTAACATGATCCTGGGCTGCATTAAAAGAAGCGCAGTGACCAGCACTGGGGAGATGACTGTGCTCTTCACCACATCTGAAGCACCATGTCCAGTTCTGCATGCTTCATTCTACAAAGATCAGAATCTAGAAGAGGGCAATAGTTATGGTGAGTGGCCCTAAAATCATACCATAGGAGAACCTGTCTGAAGGAACTAGGGGAGAGGGCTGTTAGCCTGGAGAAAAGAAGGCTTTTGGGGACCTTTGATCAATGCTTCCAAGTATCTGAAAAGCTGTCAAATAGAAAAATGAAATGTTTTTCTGCTTAGACCCAGAGGACAGAATCAGGAAGGACAAAAAGAAGGTGCGAAGAGGAGTTTGGGGTATGGAAAATCTCCTCAACCATTAAAGCTATCCAAATTGTAATGAGCTGCCTCAGGAAGCTCCCAGCTCTTCCTTGTCAGAGGTCTTCAAGCAAAGGCTAGATGGCCATGCACTGAGGATGTTGCAGAGGTATTCTTGTTTAGATACAGGTTAGACTTAGATGTTGCTGACATCCCTTCTCATTCTGAAATTCTGTGTGTAGAAATCCTAGGCTACAGGTCCTGAAAATGAAGCATCTTTTGTTGTTCAGTTGCCTCAGATCATCTTCCAACTTTTTGTGACCTCGTTTGCAGTTTTCTTGGCAAAGATACTGGAATGGTTTGCCATTCCTTATCCATATTACAGATGAGGAAACTGAGGCAAATAGGATGAAGTGACTTGCTCAGGGTCACAAAGCTCGTAAGTGTCTGAGGCAGGATTTGAACTCAGGAAGATGAATCTTTCTGACTCCATGACTGGCACTCTATCCGCTGCACCATCTAGGTGCCCAAAAACATCTTAGCAGTGAATTATCAAAGAAAAGACAGCTCAGAACTCAACCAAACAGGTCTCCCATGGGGTGTTTGGGTAGGATTTTGTTTAGATGGTCAAGACATTTGAAGTGGGAAGAAGTGAGAAAACTGAATGGCAACCACAAAAGGAGAGCAGGAGAGCGTGACTCAGCTCTCCTCCCCCCACCCACAATGTAACCAGCACATAACCTGAAAAAAGTGACTGAGCTGGGGAGCAGAGTCAGAGAACTGTGCTTTTATATTATATTCACTTGATACAGTAACCCATTGTTACCAGAACAAAGTCCTATTACTAAGGTCTGGCTAAAGGACAGAGCAATTACTCTATTATAAAGAAGACTTCTTTGGAAGGGTATTCACTGTGATTCGAATCTATACTGCCTGTCACTGGATTTCTTCACTGCCAATAGACTGCTAACAGAAGTTGCCTGCGGATGCCTCTCTGGATCTGATTAAGGAAATCTGTCATGGGGATTTCACTAAGGTCTATTCAGTAGGCCAAGAGAAGAGATATAAAACTCAGAATAAATAATACTTGTACTATCTAGCTGACAAGATCATTGTGAGGACTAACTGGGATGATGTATGTAATAGTGGTCTGTGAAAAGAACTATAGAAATCCTCCGTTTCCTCACTTCAGCAACTCTTCATTCCCCACTCCTTGCACTAGACTTCATCAAGCCCCTGAGCTGGGTACTTCCCCCTCCCCTGCCCTTTCAACATCTTTTTGTGTGTTGCCTTCCTCTCTTAGACTGCAAGCTCCTGGAGGGCAAGGACTATCTTTCTTTTTCTCATTTTTATCTACAGCGAATAGCATAGTTGCCTAGCACATGGTTGGCACTTAATAAATGTTTATTGGCTGAATAACTGAACTGTGGCATGGGAATAAAAATACCATCTCGATTTACCTCACAAGGTTGTTGCAAGGTCCAGATGGGTTAATGTATGTAGATTGCTTTGCACACTTTAAAGCACTATATACATATCAATGGTTATTGTTACTGCTATAATTATACAGTTATTGTTATCATCATGCTCAGTCCATAGCTACACTGCTGTTGCCCCAGGCAACTAATTCTTTCCTGGCTCTTCTGAAATGCCCAGTTCTCATCTTCCTGAAGCTCTAAAGCAGCCTTTGACAATTAGGGAGACAGAAATTTATTTTCAACATAATTAAGCTGAGGCAATAAGGATAGGTGTGGGAGGAATTTGAGTGAAGAGTATTCCTTACATAATACAAGGAAAGAGACTATGTTAGGCTTTGGAAGATAGGGGGCTGAAAGGGAAGGAGGGAACAGCGGAAAGGGCTTGGGATTTGAAGTGAGAGAATTTGGATTCAAATCCTAGCTCTGCTACTTAGTGGGGAGTGTGACCTTGGGCAAGTCACAAGCTCTCTGGGCCTCAGTTTACTTACCTGTAAAATGAAGGATCTGGGTTCTTTGATCTCTAAGGTCTCTTCCAGTACTAAATCTATGATGTTAAACTCTGGAAGATGCAAAGATGAGGGACGATATCAAACTTAGATACAAGGGGAACCAGAGAGGCCCATTCAGCTTGATGGAGCAGTATTAAGAGAACACAGTGGAGCCATGAGGTTGGGGGGGAGGCAAAAGTTTGGAAAGGGCTAGAAGATGCTCTGTTGGACAAACTGAAGGGAATGTACTTGGGGAGGCAGCGAACCCATACGGCCCTAGGACAGGTGACTTTCTGGGCCCAGGGAGACAATTCTAGAGATCAGGGGACGGGGAGGGGAGGGTTCTCACCCTTCTTAAACTCCTCCAGCACCATGTCCAGTCGAGTGTCATTGAAGACGCAGTGAAGGGGCCGGTTGTAGAAGCGGGTGACAGTAAGAAGTGGGGTACAGTCATCAGGGTCTACAAAAGCCAAGTCCTTAACAAATAGGATGTCCACGATGTTGTGCCTCTGGTCGCCTTCGTACACTGGGATGCGCGTGTAGCCGCTGCGCAGGATCTCGGAGACGGTGGAGAAATCTAGCACGGCGTCCGAGCGGAGCATAAAACAGTCCCCCAGAGGGGTCAGCACCTCCTCCACCACCTTGGTCCGCAGCTCCAGGGCGCCCTGGATCATGTTCAACTCTTCCTTGACCAAATCGTTGTAAGGGTCTGCGGCCCTCAGCGTCTCCAGTAGTTTCTCGCGGGTGTAGAAGGTGCTGATCTCCTGGCGCAGTGCCCAGTCCAGCAAGCGGCCGAGCGGATAGCACACCGGGAAGGCAGCAGCCATTAAGAGCCGGGTCAGGCAGACACTGTGGGAGGCGATGGCCAGCCCGTGCCGGGAACACACGGAGTACGGGCAGATCTCGGCGCCCAGAAACACCGCGCCGGTGCACAGCAGCGTGGGCAGCCAGGGAAAGTGACTTCCCCCGCCCCAGTCTTCTTCCCCTTCATCCCCGACACTCGGGGGCAACGAGGCGCACAGCCAGCCAGCCAGGGCTGCGTTGGCTCCGGCCTGCCCCAGCAGCAGGGTGCACAGCAGATGCGTCCCGCGGCCCCGCACCGCCTGCACGCGGCGCGCCTGCTCCTGCTCGGTCGCCGAGCCGCTGTTCCTCAGCACCCGTAACTCCACCGGGTCCAGAGAGAGCAGGCTCAGGCGCAGGCCGCTGAAGAGGGCCGACAGGGCGAGCAGCAGGACCGCCCCTAAAGCCCGCAGCCAGACCGGGGGCAGCAGCTCCCCGCCCGGGCCGTACAGCCTCGGCCTGACTCGCAGCAGAAAGCCGCCAGCCGCGCCGTGGTGGTGCCAAGCGCGCCCGTCCCAGGCGCACAACGAAAAGAGCTTCCCGCGGCCTCCTGAGCCGGCCCGCTCCGCCTCCCCCTTGCGCAGCTCTCGCACCCGCACCTCGACCAGAGCCGAACCCGCTGCGCCGCCCGGCCGCAGGGGACCCAGGACCTCCACGTCCGATGCCCAGCCGCTCTGCTCGCGGCACCTCTGAGGCCCCGGGGGTCGGCTCGGGAGGGAGCTGGGGGCCACGACACCGCTTCCGGGGGGTTCTTCGATAAACACGAGCCTCGGGGCCCAGTCGCTGGTGTCATTCTCCCCCGAGGAGCGGGTCGGGGCAGGGAGCAGCGCTGCGCTCGTCGCTGCGCCCGGCTGAAAATAGACCCGCAATAGGAAACTGGTCCCCTCGGCAGCGCGCAGGGTGCCCCCCTCCAGGGAGACGCGGCCTCCCGCGGTGTCCTCCGGCCTCAACCCCAGCAGCCAAGCGGCCGAGGCCGGAGGTTGAGGGGACAGGGAGAAAAACAGCAAGAACACTGCACCCCGGCTGCAGCAGCACCGAAGACTGGCACCAGCCACTGCTGCCGCCGCCGCCGCCGCCGCCGCCGCCGCTGCCGCCGCCGCCATCCTGCACCCGGCCCGGGCGCACGTGATACTGCAGTGAGGGGACCGCGGACCGAGAGGAGGAGCCGGGAGCTGGGAACCCGGCCCCAAACGGGTCACCACGTGTGCGCTTCGCTGGCAGGAGGCGGTGGTGGCCTCCTCCCCGACCCCCACCCCCGGGCGATGCCCATGTCCACCTGGCACAGCTTCAAGGGTGGTCCCTGCACTGCTTGTGGGCTCCGATCTCCGTGGACCAAGTAGGGGCAACCCTAAAAGCAAAAGGTAGTTGAATGTGCAGCCTAGTGTAAAGTGTGTGTGTGTGTGTGTGTGTGTGTGTGTGTGTGTGTGTGTGTGTGTGTGTGTATTAGAATTGTCTGAGGTATTTGTTCAGCCTCTGGCCTCTCTAAGTACAACTAGACCAAGTGAAGTGATCAGTCAGGCAAAGGCTCCAACTAGTTCATTCCCTCTGATAACGGCCTAAAATAACGAAACTGGCCCTTTATCCATCCTAGCTGTTTTCGCTGTCAGCTCAGCCAAGTGCATTCTACAGCTTTCTTTTGGCAAGTTAAATTGTTTTGCAATTTGCCTCGTTTGAGATCTACCCATCAGTCGCATTCCTTCCCGTATTTGCAAGAGATTCTGGGAATAATAATTTGTATTTTGGGTGCAAACTTTGGTACTTGGGCTAGACTCTTCAAATAGTCTTTCATGTTCATTGTTTAAAATTACTTCAATAGTATGGCCTTGCTTTTCCTACATAAATAGAAAAGCATACTAACCAGCTGTCTTATCTGTTAGTTTCTCTCCTTTTTATCACTTTTCCCATCAGTAGTGAAAACTGGTTCTCCTCACCTTTGTAACTAGATCGAAGTCAGGTATCTGGCTTCAATTCTCTGTCACCAGAAGGTATAGGAAGCAAACAATTAAAAAAAATAATTTAATGAAACCTTTTGTTCTTACCTTTTATTTCTGAATATAATCCTCCTTCAACCTCTACCTCAAAAATAAAGGAGGGAGGGGAAAGCAATTCATCAAAATTAAGCAACACATCTATGATAAATATACAATATTCCATATTGGGCTCTGTGCAGCAAACCTGATAGCCTTAAAACAGAGGGGAGCCAGGCCCCAAACACAACTCCTGTGCAGGTTTTGGATAGGAGGCAGAAGGGAGGCTAAATCTGAGAGGGGCCCATTGGTGCCTCAGCATTACCATTTGAAAGGTAAAGGAAAAGGAGATTTTGGGACAGGGGCATGCACAATGACCCAACCTTACTTTCTTTTCCCCCAACCTCATCTCTCCACCTCCATCTCCAAAAGGCAAAAGCACCTGAAATTCAAGGCATTCTCTCATCCTTCCAACATCCATGGCCTTGACTAAGGGATTAAAGACAAGATCTCTCACAATCTCCGATCACAATCTCAGAATTTTCTTCATTTTTAAATAATATTTTATTTTTTCTTCCGATTACATGTTAAAACAATTTTAACAACTTTTTTTCAAGTTTTGAGTTCCAAATTCTATCCTTCCCTCCTGCCCTTCTCCTTCCCTGAAACTGTAAGCAATCCAATATAGTTTATGCATATGCAATCATGTAAAACATTTCTATATTAGTCATTTTGTACAAGAAGACTTGAATAAATGAAAGGAATGAATGAAAGAAAGTGAAAAATAGTGTGCTTTAGTTTGTATTCAGATAGTATCAATTCTTTCTCTGGAGGTGGATAGTATGCTTGAGAATCTTCTTTAGAAAGAAAACTTGTACTTTTTTTAAGTGAACAATGGAAAAAACTGGTGTGCCTTCTGATAGTAAAGAGGAATCAAATACCTTTACCTTTGTCTGAGTCCTAGAAGGTTCCTGAGTTTCCAATGAACTGATATAACTGAGAGCACTCTAGAGACTTAGTGAGAGTGAGCATGCTACCAAAAAAAAAAAAAAAAAAGATGTACAATACACTTCTAGCTTACTATGGGATCATGTAATATGTGATGGAGGATAAATTGGCAGATTTATCAGTGAGCTAGAGTGAATAGCTGTCCCCTAACCAGCTCTTGGGCTATGGTGAAAATGAAAGTCCACGTATTTAGAACCTAGGAGAATGATACTGTCTGGGTTGAAAGTACCACCCTTCCCTGTATCTTGTATTACATATTTCACATTCAATTTCATTTAACTCATTTATTAAGCTCTTACTGTATACTGGGCACTGTGCTAGGTAACTGATGGTATAGAGACAAAAATAGTTTCTCAAGAAGCTTATGATTTTACTCTATATGAACATTAAATAGGTCTTGTTCAAGGCATGCCTTGTTACTAAATCCAAATCAGGGAGAGTTGAAGCCTCTTACTTGACCTGGGTGGGTGCAGAGGGAAACCCAAGGCTGAGTCATATTATGTAGGTCATCAAAGGGCAAACTGCTGGAAGTGATGGACTGGAACTCAAAATTGGTATGGCATTTAAAGCATATCTGCTGTTCTCTCTGACTTTTCACTTTTTTGGGGGGGAAGGAGGGAGTGGCAAGAAGGATGGGACGTATTATCATAAGTCAACTGTTTGGGTTACCAAGAAGCCTGGTGATGATACTAGCTAGCAAAGTATCTCACAAATATCCTCACAATAAACCCTGGAAGGTGGTTGCTAATATTATCCCCATTTTACAGATGAGGAAACTAAGGCAGACAGGTTAAATGACTAGCCAAAGATTCCACAGTTAGTAAGTGTCAGACAGAATGTGAACTCAGCTCTTTCTGACTTTATATGCTAAATGCAAAACACAAAAACAAAAACAAAAACAAAAACCCAGTGCTAAGCACTTCAGTACGGAAACTTAGGGATTTTAGGTTCATGATAAAAATAATACATAAACTACTTCAAGAGTTCACAATATCACTACTATGGGTACAGATGTTCTGCACCTAAGCAGAGGGAAATCTGTAACCTCTGCTAATTGCCATGAGGCTTTGTGAGTCTCTATGACCAAAAATTTTTATCATCCATTGGCCAACCCTCTGATTGTGAAAGTAATAATTATTCATATTTCCATGGTGGTAACATGTTCCCCTGTGAAGTAAAAAGTGCAAAATACCAGCATCCTCATTTTTATAGGTGAGGAAACTGAGGCTTAGAGATGTTAGTGACTTTCCAGTGTTTAGCACATTGCCTGACACATAGCAGGTGCTTAATACATATTTATTGATTGATTGATTTCTCACAGCTATGACTAATAATTGCCACAGGTGGCACTCACTCTGTTCTTCTGACACCAAATCCAGTGGTCTTTCCTAGCCAATAATGGTCTAGTCATGTGACATTTTGTCACCTGTCACTGCCTGGGTGTTGCAAAGATGTGTCCCTTTTGCCCAAAGATAGATACTTGGGTACTTCTAAATAGGGGAAATGGGGAGTAAGAGGGATGAGGGAGGCAGAAGGCCAGGCCCAACCTGGCTACTAGCCAATCAATTCATTGAGTGTATGGTCCAAATAAACCTTTGCACGGTGCCAGGCTAGAATTGAGTAAAGAAAAGGCTAGAGATGGGAGGTCAGATAGCCTCTAGCCAATTGCTAGGGGAAGTGCATGGAATTGCATTTAGTAGAAATAAGACAGAAAATCTCAGAGTCACCGATGTGGTGGCTGAACAGGAATTGATTGTCCTCATGACCATCCAGTCTCCAGGAGGATAATCTTAGGAAAAGAAGACAATTTAATGGAGTCAAAGGCTAGGGGTGGGGATTCCAATGGTTTTCATTTAGGGGAGGGACTCAGGCTGATTATGCAGGAAGATTTGTTCAGGAAACCGGATGTAGTTTTAATTTTTTAAGCAAATGAAAAGAGCACCTGTGTACTACATCTGTGAAAGGGGTTCAGTCTCTCACTTTAGATGCCGGCACCTAGTCATAAAGGAATAGCAAGAGGGTCCCTTAGTAACCCCTTTCTCCAACATCCTGTCTCAAATGTGTTAATTAAATTTGCAGATGACACTCAATTAAGCCATGTTATAAGTGCCAATAAAACCCAAGTGAAAAAAATTTTTTTAAGATTAGAAATATGGGAAAGAAAATGATACTGAACTTGGGAAAAAAATATACACAGGCATCTAGGGGAAAATAATCATTAAGGCAAATTTTCATTGGGAGGGCAACACCTGGAAAAGAGTAATGCCTGAAAGAGGCCCTCTGGGTGCTGCTAAGCAGCAAATTAGATACACGTCTACAGCAGGATCTTGCAAGAAAATTATGACTGCAGCAGACCAGCCTCATGTCACAAAGTGTGGAGATGACTGCCCTCTCTGTGGAGTCCTAGGGAGACAGCACCTGGACGACTGCGTTCCGTTTTGGACACCTCATTACCAGAAAAACACCGATTAACAGGAGGGAATTTGGAGAAGAGTCATAAGAACAATTTAAAGCTGGTTGACATGGTTCAACAAAATAAAAGCAAAGGAGGGAAGGGAGTCAGAGGTAGAAAAAGACAGTTGTATTTAGTTCATAAATGGGGGAGGAAATGGAAAGGGTATTTTTGTTCATGGTTTTTAAAGGTCTTTTCTCCCACTACAGTTTCAGCACCTGCATGGCTAACAGGACAATTAGAAAGAGCTGCTTTCCATCCATTATCTCATTTGATTATCCCAGTAGCCCCGGGAGGCCCATAGCCCAGGTCTTATTATTCCCATGTTAGATATAAGGAAACTAAAGCTCAGATTAAGTGACTTCCCTAAGATCACATAGTCAGTATGGGAGCCAGGACTTGAATTCAGAGCTATAACTAAGAATTTTGGCACTTGGGGCAAAGTTAGTTGATAGGAGGAGAAGGGATAGATTAGAAACTGCGGTCATGGAAGTTGGAAAGGCTGAGGAAATGAATGCAAAGGAAGTTGGAAGGGCTGAGTCTTGGATGTTCAAAGGAGACAGGGGTCCAAAGTAGATAAGAAAACCATGAGCCACGTGTTTGAGGAGGAGGATGGTAACCAGGGGGTCCAGAGAAAAGAATCAAGATCTAGACAGAATGGAGTGAACTTTAGGGGAGAGGAGGACATTGTTGAGGGGCAGTGGCAGAGGGAGCGTCTGAAAGAGCCTATCCCATAAGAGGGTGAGGGAAAGAACAGTCTTGGAGAGGGTTCAAAGATATATTGGCCTTCAGGAGAGAGCTAGTGAGAGGAAGAGATGATGGGGTCAGAGAGCTAGAGATTTCTGAACCCATCTCAGCCAACTCTAGAAGTCATTAAGTCCAACTCTTTCATTTTGCAGATGAGGAAACTGACACCCAAAGAGGTGACTTGCCCAAGGTCACACAGGCAGTAAGCTTCAGGGGTAGGATTTTGATCCAAGCAAGCTGAGTTTGATGACCATAGAGGATGGGACAGAGGATACAGTGGAAATGCAAGGCAGAGATGTATAAGAAGATTTTGAGAGGAATTTACTACTGAGGGTGTGGGGGCAAGGGATCTTCCCCATTACCACTCATCTTATGCTGGGTCCAGTTCTTCCTCATGGTGGGGGTCCCTATTCCAAGCGATACATCAGAAGCAGCCTGTCCTAGTGGGAAGGCTGGCCCCAGGGGAAAGGTGGGATGCCCATGGAACCCTGAGGGATGGCAGCCCTGGGCTGATTTAGGAAGCAACCTGAGGCTAGCTGGCACTCTACCAGGGAGAGGAAGCCCACACCTCACTCTGAATGGCAGCAACTGGGGCAAGGCCCCTGCTACTCTCTGCTAGTTCTGGCTTTGCTTCAACCCGACATCTGACTCTAAGACTAAGGTTCTTTCCACTGTAGCATGCAAAATTAATTGTTTCTGTTTTGTTTTGTTTTGTGGGGTTTTTTTTGAGGGGTAGTCATGCAGATGCTTGGACCCAAGGAAAGATTCTTTTTTAAAAATTTAATAGTTTTGATATTTTAATTGTTTTTATTATTTTAAAAAAAGATGAAGCTTAGAACTGGATCATTTGGCTCCTTTCTCTTCTTGTTTCCTCTCAGCACAAAATGCCCACATCTCTTACTGGCCAGCATCCTCTCAGATCGACAATTGGGTCCAACACGTTCCAGCCTCTGTACACTTTTGTGGTCATGGCGGTTTCCGTCTCGTCCACTTCCAGCAGAGCACCTAGCATGTGCCTGTGTATGTGCACTCCTCGCCCTTTGCACAGCCTGTTTCTTTGTGAATCTGGTGCTCATTACCCATGTGGCAGGTATTTCAAGATTTTTGGGAGATGTTCACAATATCCAAGGCCACTCTGTCAGTGGTAGGAGAGGATTTAGGGAGATCTAAATCCAAGGGAGGGATAGAAAGAAGTGTGGCAGTGCTAACCTCAGAGCAAGAAGGAACTGGGTATTAATCCCACCTCAGACACATAGTATGAGCCTAGATGAGTCTAATGCAATCCAACCAGCATTCATTTATTCATTCATTCAGCTATCTATCTATCTATTCATTTGTTTGTTTATTTATTTATTTTAGGCAATTGGGGTTAAGTGACTTACCCAGGGTCAAACAGCTAGTAAGTGTCAAGTGTTTGGTCTGAGGCCGGATTTGAACTCAGGTCCTCCTGACTTCAGGGCCAGTGCTCCCAACCAGCATTTTTTAAACACTTAATAATTTAATAAACATTTATTAAACAAAGCCCTGTGCTACATGCTGGGGATACAAAGGCAAAGGGAAAAATCATTCCTGGCCTCAAGAAATTTATATTCCACGTTACATGAGATCAGGTAAGTATGCCTCGTTTCAGGAGGAGACTAAGGGGATGAGAAGAGGTCCTGACTTCAGATCCAGAGCTCGGGTCATTACATTCCACTCTTTCCCTCATGGACTCTTCCCTTCCTCTCACATATCCCGTTATATGGGGCACATAGCACTAGGTGAGAACACTTTGGATGGGTCCTCGAGTATTCCATTTGGGCCCAGGCCTTGCTCCCTTATCAAGTACTAAGGCTGGGCTCCCAAAGCTAGTCATGTCAATTGAAGAGGACACAGCAGTGGCAGAATTCACATCTGGACCCCGCACACACCCACCTATCGCTCTTCTTGCCTCTTCTGTCTCACTCCTGACTAGGGCAACTGTCCCAAACCTAAAAGGTAGACCCAATTTCGGTGCCTCCATAAGCCATTTGCCCCTCTCAGGGCCTCAGTTTCCCCATCTGTGAAATGAGTGGATTAGACCACATGACCTCTGTGGTTCCTATCGGCTCTGACACTTGTTTGATCTGTGCTTCGTCCTCACCCCTGGTCAAGGTCGTTGCCTGGGCTCTGAGCTCCCAGACCTCACTTTGCCCCTAGTTCCCTCTATGTTCTACCTCCAGGAAGGCTCCAAGCTCCATTTTTACCTTCCACTCCTAGTGTGACTGGGTAGAAGTGTCAGTCAGTCAACAAGCACCGTGTGCCAGGAAGTATGCCTTAGTACTGTGCTGGGGCAAAGAAAGGCAAAAAACAGCGCCTGCCCTCAAGCAGCTTACATTCTAATGGTGAGACAAACGTGTAAATCACTAGATACATACAACATGTATAAAGAGTAGATGGGAGGTGATGTCAGAGGTGAAGGTGCTAGCAATTTGGGAGCAGAGGAGGACATTTTAAGGCCTCTTAGCAAAAGGCAGGATTTGAGCTGAATCTTGAAGGAAGTCGTGGAAGCTAAAAGGTAGAGATAAAGGAGCAGAACACTGCAGGTGTGGGGCCCAGCCCTTACAAAGGCAGGAGCCAGGACGTGGGCTGGTATGTTCAAGGAATGGGAACAAGGCCACTGGAGGTGGATTGATCGCTACAGGGAAAGGGGAGAAAAGTATAAGGAGACAGGATAGACAGGAAGGGGCAAAAGCCAAAACCAAGAGTATAGTTGGTCCTGGAGGAAATAGGGAGAAAGTGATGACATGGTCAGCCCTGAGCTTTAGAAAAATCAGCTCGGCAGATGAATCTGTGGAGTGGGGAGAAACTTGAGGCAGGCAGACCAACCAGAAGGCTGTTGCAATATTCCAGATGTCCTGGAAGATAACGATAAACCTGAAGGAGGAACTGGCTGGTCTTCCTTATTTGTAGAAGGAGGGAGATAAGCACCTCCTTCACAGGGTGGGTGTGAGGATCAAATGAAATCATGGATGCAAAGTGCTTTACAAACCTCCAAGGGCCACATAAATGGGAGTTATTATTTATGATTATTTCACCCAAACCTACCCTTCTTTCTAGCTTACCTGTTTCTGTTGAGTCTACTACCATCTTTTCACAGTTCTCCTCTCCTGTTCATTCTCCCTTACCACTCTTCTCTGACCCCCACCCCCAATCAGTTGCCAAGTCTTCTGGATTCTGCCTCCAAAACCAGTCTCACATCGGCCAATGTCTTTCTACTCATTGGGCAGTTAAGGCTTTCATCATCTCTTCCTTATATTATTTCTATGATCTTCTAATTGAGGGGTTCTTAATCTTTTTTTGGGCCATAGACGACTTTGGCAGTCTGGGAAAACCCATGAACCCCTTTTTAGAATCATGTTTTTTTTGTTAATGAATTTTTACTTATTTAGTATTTTCCACAGTTACAAAATCGTGTTTTTAAAATGCATAAAATAAAATATATAGGATTACAAAGACAACCAAAGGTTAATAAAAATAAAGATGTTATTTTTTTCCTTCCCCAACTTCATGGACCTCCTGAAATCTATCCATGGATTTCTTGTGGAGCCCAGATTAAGAATTTGTGTTCTAATTGGTCTTCCTGCTTCCAGTCTCTTTCCTCACTATTCTATTTTCCACACAGCTGCCAAAATAATATTCTGAAAGCCTAACAATGTTGTTCTCCTGCTCTAAAAATGGCAGTGGCTCCCTATTGCCTCAAGGATAAAATACAAGCTACTCTGTCTTTTAAAGTCTTTTACAATCTGGCACCAACCCCTTCCTAGATTGATTTCATATTGCTCCATTTATTCATTCTACATTTCAATCAAAAGTGGCACCACCCATCCTTAATGGCTCTTAGTGCTCATTCCTGTTCCCAGAATCCTTCCTGCAGGAACTAGATTACTTACTTACAAGATGTCTAGTTCCAGAGGTCTTTTTTTTTTTAAACAAGAAGGTAGTGAGGATTTATTATACAGGCGTGCTACACTTATTCCACAAAGAAAACAATCAGTCCAGAATGACAAAAGTCCCATGGCACAAAGTCCAGAGGCAGGTAGATGGAATTTGCATTAAATGATGGCATGTCCTTTTGTCAGGGAGGTCTTCAGATGGTGGTAAGAGTCCTTATCAGATGATGGTAGAGCTAGGAGACACTTCGTAGGGTGGGGTGATGTCTCCCAAAGGTTTCTGCCTTCCTGAGAATGTCACCAAAGCTCATTCCATCTCTGCTCCTGTGGCTTCCGTGGTCAGCACAGTCTGGTTACTTGGACCTCTGTCTCATCTTTCTCCTCTTGCGTTTCAGCCTATGCATTTGCTTCTTCCTCCACTTGGCTCTCATGGAACAATGGAAGTCGACAAGATGGCGCTAAGAAGAAGACCTAGAGGTCCTTTTGAGTCTAACTTCTGGGCTAAGAAAAAGCCCAGTAAAACATTTTTTATCTAGGAGGGCTAAACTCAGAATTTTATTTCCTAATGAAATATGCCATATATATATTGCTCCAGGGCAACTAAACAGGATAAGTTCCTGCTGGTGAATGTGGCCTGTGAAGTGGCCTGAATGTCTGCCTGCACCCTTCTGAGCAAAGTGGGCTTTCTCCCAAAGCCTTAGAGGGTGAGAAGGAGTCTCTTAGTTAATGTGTCCCCTGCTGGCCCAACTAACCGTCAGACATAAAGATTGGGAAGGAAGGGGGAGACAGAGGAATGATCACACAGAGCCAAGCTCATAGTTCAGTTTCATGCCATGGCCCATAGTCCAGTTTGGCTGAAGTCTGGAGTAATAATAATAGCTACCATTCATCTAGTACTTTAAATGCATTATCTCATTTGAACTTCACAATAACTCCATAAGGTAAGGTTATCACCATTTTATAGATGAATCAAATGAAACAAATGACTTATCGATGGTTACATAGCTTATGTGTCAGAGATAGGGTGCGGACTCAGACCTTCCAGCCCAGTCCAGCACTCAACCCACTATACCACATTTATTCTCATGAAGGTAAGCCCGGCAGTCAATTATAGGAGTTATATTCCAGATGTCATGCTAAGGAGTCAGACTTTATTCAGTGGACAATAGGGAGCCACAGAAAGAGTGATGTGATCCAAATTGTGCTTCTGGACAATCATTACGGCAAAGTTTCTGGATAGAGCGTGTAAACTCAATTGTGCATCTCAGAACCTCACAGAACTCTCTCAATGGCTTTCATTTTTGTGACCAGGGCTAGCCCTAAGGAGTGGTGAGAAAGGGATGAAGATTTTCTCATCTTCCACCCTCTTTATTGCCCTTTCCAGCTCTTCCCCATGAGAAGGTCAGTTAGTGGAAACCAATCAACACCACGTCTGTCCACATTGCAGGTCAGTGTTCCTTGACTCAACCCTCAGCTGCCGTATCCAATCAGCTGCCTGTTCTCTCTGGGGCCTCCTTTCTATTCCCACTGCTCCCAACTTACTTAGGCTCTAAATCTCAGTGTCTTCATCTGTAAAATGGGGATAAAAGTATGGATCTTACAGGGTTATTGTGAGATTATATATTAAAAATAATATAGCGAACCTGACCTATGAACCAACTTCTCTCTCTCAAATTTGCCTGTGCTGTTGTTCTATGTACTAATAATACCTTCCTTGCCCTACCTCCATCTCTTGAAATGCCACCTCCATCTGTCAAGAAGCTGCCTAAATGTCAGCAACAAAGTGAATCTTTCCTTGAATCCTCCAATCAGAAGTGATTATTTATTCCTCTCACCTCACAAAGCACTTTGTAACTCTCTTATGTGCTTAGCCAAATTTACTTTATAAAGTAGTTATTTGTGTGCCTGCCAGCTCCCCTACCAGACTAAATTCTTTGCAGGCAGGAGTCCCATCTTTGCATCAGCATGGATTTAGAACTGGAAAGAACATTTTACAAATCATGCCCTTTATTCGGTCCCTTTATTTTACAGATTAGGAGAGTGAGGTCCAGAGAAATTAAGTGATTTGTCCAGCATCTGAAAGATAGCAAGGGCCCTTTGT